ACCCCAAAAAGTAATCCGTTACTTTCGTGGCGTTACTTTTAACATTATTGTCCTCAACTAAGAAACAAAGGGAAGAAGGTTATTCAAGCTCTTATTGCTGCCACCTGTTCCATTTAATGACCTTGATTTTGAGCAAAAGCTGGCTCTCGAAAGTCTCGTCAGACATTTTGCGTTACTTCTTACTCAATATGTCGACTGCTACGCTGAACACCATTTGAGCTGGGGCACTGGATGGGAGTGCCATATTATTCCTCACGAATGCTTCATGCTCTGCATTGAGCTTTTTCAGCGAAGCAAGGGAAGTGCTATTTACCTCGAATGTAGAACAAAGCTTCGTCGTTGCAGCCGTTGCCTGCTATTCGAGAGATTTGGTAAATCCTTCCGATACCTCCGATACCCGCGATAACGGTACCCGATCGATATGATGCATACGCAAAAACGGCGGCGAAGTATCGGATATCGTTATCGGAGTCATCGGACCGATCTACTAAAATTCTCCATTGTCTAAATCGCGAAGCTATAGAAGTCATCAATAGCAAAACATAGTTGTAACAGCAAGGTGATAATTAAATTATAAATAAGGTTTGGCTCGATATTCTTCTTCCTTTGGCTCTGAACAGTTCGAGCCTCACTTGAGACGTTGGTGAATAAAAAAAAAAAAGTTTCCAGTATATAAATATAAGTAATAAAGGAAAACGAAGGACACTCGTAACAACAATTAATTAGAACGTCGGTTAAAACAAGGAAATGTAAACGCCCGTTTGCCGTGTGTACCTTTCTTGGTGCCGTTCAAAAACGCACGGAGCACGAACAGACTGCAGTTTACTCCGGTGTTCTCCAGATAGACGTCCGCTGATGCCACGGGCAGCAAAGGGCGCTATGGCCCCACTCACGAGTTTCACTCTCTCCTCAAGCCCAGAATATCAAGTCTACGTCAGCCACCATTATGTTTTATTTGTAAAAATATCTGCCTGAGATAAGATGCGTCCTGCTGGGGCAAAACAGGAAGAAGAAAGGAAGACTATTACCATTTTCTAAGTGCTCGCAAAAAAACTGACTCACAAAAAGGGTAGGGTAGACGGAGCGTTGTCTCGTGTTTTGACACCATGAAAATGGTTGCAGTCACTATAATTATGAAGGACACTGTTAATTCTTTTCAGTGCACTTACCGCCTCGAGCTTCTCGAAGAGTCGCACAATCACTTGGTGTCCTCCTCTCACCGTCTTCGATCGCAAAGAAAAACAAAGGGACTAAAAAAAGCGGGAAGAGGGAGGGGGGGGGGGGGGGGGGGCCCTTTTTTTTTTTTTTGTAGAATTGTTTATTTAGATTTTCTGACACTGATGTTAGGGTCTAAAAAAAAGATAGACTCAGGGGCTTGGTGTTGCAAAAAAAAAAAAAAGGCTTTGCGGAACTGAAGAGTGCCAAGCCTCCCTTCGCGCTGGTCGGTTCGCGTGACAGTGTCACTGCGCTCGACTTTACAAAAATGAAAAGAAAAGAGCTTTATTTAAAATAAAAGGGAGGGGGGGGGGGGGGGGTCGGTTTTGACAAAAAATGTAACGGATTACAAGGAATCCGTTACGTCAAAAATGTAAGGGAATTACTGTAAAATTGCTCTAGAAACTATGTAATTGTTCCGTTACTAAATTACTGATAAATGTAAGGGATTACAAGTAATTTCGTTACTTGTAACGGATTACGTACAAGTCTGCCACAATTACGCCATCAAGCTTTGCAAAGGAAAGACTGCCAAGAAATAGTCCCCTTTTGTCTTCGCAATCTCACCGCGACAGAGAACCTTCTGAATCAGTGGAGGTCTGTGCGAGTATACTTGGGCCAGACTAGGACCAGTACGCCTCTGCAAAGCCATGAACATTCCAACCCGAGATCCTTTCATGGCCGATTTAACTTAGCCTACCCGGTCGTGGATGCTGCATTATACATTATTAGACCTGTGTCCCGCGAAAATGTTTGCAATGATAAAACATTTTTAACTTCACCGTAGACCGCGGGTTTAATCGTAACATGTTTTTTTTACAATTAATGATAATTTTTTTATTAATAATATTATTTAGCCACTCTGCTTATCGGACAAATCTTGCAATTTTCCTATTTACCAACGTCCCTTGACAACTAACCGCCTCTCACAATTCGTCAGCGCTAGCTTGTGAAACCTGGAAACATCCCCAGACGAAGACATACTATACGTGTTTGTCCATCTTTGTCGTTGTATATTCCACGCTTTCATTTCCCGACGACTCGACTCTCCTTTAAACCGGAATGCGGCATATACGGTGTCTCGCTTGAACTTTAAATATAGAATATGGCGACCGTTTCATATTTCTACACCGCTTCGCCGCCCGCATTTCGTCGCGCTTGCACAACGGGCAACTCGACCCGACACCCAAGGCTGGGCAACGCGTCGCACGCGCAGACGCCCGGAATTCAGAATGCAATGTATTATAGTTCGTCTCCGCGAACCCCTGGACTATCGTGACGTTGCATATCTTGTCGTCTCGACCGGGCGACCTACGCGAACCGCGAGTCATACGAGCGTGCGAAGTGGTGGCCAGCCGCCGTCACACCGCTAATTCATCGTGCAAAAAACAGTCTGCAGACAGTAGAGAGTTTTAGGGAACCGTTCTTGCTCGTCCGATACGGTACGATTGTCCCTCCGGTACGAACTGCGCATGCGCTACCGCAGAAGACTCGCACATGCGCATGCATATATGTATTACGCAAACGTGTTCCGACCACGCGTTAGGTGTGTCCGCAGATTATCATGTCGTCATGTCCTCGGCGAACGCCGTGTCTTTTGTGTGATACGTATATATGAGCCGCTTGACCGTGGCTCAGACTTGAACGTAGCTCAACTGCTGTACTCAAGGTACTGTAGTTTAACTACTTTTCCGAGTACGTTAGTAAGTTTCAATTAAATTTTTATTTCGGTAATCAGTAGTTTACTTTAATTACTTTTTCCGAGTAACTTAATCCTACTGAAATTACAGATTACTTTCGAATTTTAGTGGTTGTTTTGCTTATCAACTAACATTCCTGCAAAAAAAAAAAAAGATGATATGTTGGAAGATCAGCTGATATTTGCAAAGAGAGGGAAGGATGTGACGTAGGCCGGGAGGGAGAGTGGTTTGGAGGGTCCGAAACCCCCTAATATTTTCACGAGCTCCCAACCGTACAATCCCTGCTGCGAGGCGCGGGGAACGGTCATACACGTCGCAAGTGAAGCCGAGTAAAGGCCCGTTCACACTCTTGCAACCCAGTACGACCGAGTGAGACCAGACCGGTTTTTAAGCCTTTTGCGACTTCTTAGGACCGGATGCGCGGCAGCGGAGCTGGTCCTAAGAGATCGCAAGAGGCTTAAAAACCGGTCTGGTCTCTCTCGGTCGTAGTCGGTTGCAAGAGTGTGAACGGGCCTTAACTGCGGGATTAGCGCCGAAGACTGACGTTTCTTTGTGTCCCGAAGCTCAAAGAGGCGAGCGCTTGACGTATTTTTTTTTTTTTTAAGAAAGGGCTTGTCTCAGCTTTTTCCCCACGTAAGAATTGTCGCCCACTACAGATGTACGCGCTGCATCCTCACTCAAAGGAGGCAACAAAAAAAGCACCCGCTCTGGAGCTCATCTGGTGCTCCCGTCGTTTGTGCTGTACTCGAAGAATCGCGTGCTAAAGGGCAACGCAAATGTGACCTCTTTGCGTTGCCTTTCCTCCGAAAACTCAGAATATGCAAGTCTTCCAAGATTTGAAGATCGTTCGAGAAACCTTAGTAATTCCCCTAACGTTTTTAGATAAAAAAAAAAAAGGAGTGTTGGGAAGTACTTTAAGTACATGGTACTTGAAGTACTTCAAGTAGGTTTAGAAAACTTGTACTTTACTTGAAGTACATTCTCCGAGCATGCGCTTTCACTTTATAATGTATTTTTTTTCTGGAACTTTCTGCGGAAAGTGCAATTCCTGACTTCAAAATACATTCCCTAAACTTTAAAAAAAAAAAAAAATGGAGTGTCCTTTTGTGAAAAAACGCCATCGCCTTTCGAGACGTCATTCGGTCTTTTCTCTGAGTGAAGTAATGGCGGCTATAACACCGATACAAATGAGTGCCTTATGAGCTGATTGTGCTGAATGGTTCGTCAGCAAGAGCAAAACAACTACTATGGCGACTTGACTTTATTCAATATTTTCCGCCATATCCGAAAAAAAAAAAAGCTGGTGCACCTCCGATAATGGCGCAATACCAGTTAAAAATTAAAGAACACCGTATCATGAAACAGGGCATCATGAAATATAGTGTTAAAAACTACTTGTACTTTACTTTGAAAATACATTGTATTTATAGTATCTTACATCAAATACATAGTGTTTATAGTACTTTACATCTGCATTGTGTTTATAGTACTTTATATCAAGTACATTGCGTCCGGTGTACTTACTACTTTACTTGAAGCACATAACCTCTAATTCACTTTTACTTTACTTCAAGTATTTGTTAGATGTACTTTACACAACACCGTAAACAAGCAAACACTGTCTACAAAATCAAGCTCAGGCAGTGCTATAAACCTCAAAGTAGAAATGATACATCCGCAATAAATCACTGACCAAAAAAAAAAAAAAGTACAAAACAATTGGGCACGCACAAGCGGAACCAGCAATTAAAGCATTTGTGTGAAAACATAAGCCGCTTTATATTTGGCTAGCGTAATTTCGCTAACGGATCAAAACCTATGTACTTTGTTGTCGCTATAAAATAATATAATAGTAACTTCAGAAGTAACTCGCTACTTTATTACGGTTGTTAGTAATTTGCTCAATTACTTTCCATTTCAGTAATTTGTGCTGCAATCAAATTACTTTTGGGGCCACTACTCAGTAACTTAACCTAATTACTTTGTTTTAGTAACTTGTACATGTCTGCCATGGCTTCAAACTAAAGTGAGCTAAAAAGACAACTAAAGAACACTGAAAGCATTCGTGCCTCTATTTTCACGCAGCGCATCCGGAGAGCGAACCTCTGCATGCCTTCACGGAGGGAAATCAGCAAGTAAACGTGAGTAGACCTAAAAATGAAGTCTACAATACATTCTAAAAAAAGCCTATGCGTCTACTTTCCCGCACAACACTCGGAGAGCCAATCACCTTAACTTACGGAGGCAGCTCAGCGAATGACGATGCCGAAACATATGTTTAGACCGAAAAACGCAGTGTGAGTTGTGACACTAAGCGATGCAAAACGTCACGCTTGCATTGCCTGATGTCAGAACTCCAACTGCGTTTTTTTGGTCTAAACACATGTTTCGGCATCGTTATTCGCTGAGCTGCCTGCGTAGGTTGCGGTGATTAGCTCTCCGAGTGTTGTGCGGGAAGGTAGACGGACGGGCATTTTTTAGAGCGTAAGTGACACTGAAAGTGACGCATGCGTCCAAAAATTAGATGCTTGATCACCTCTGTGTGTCTCACCGAATACGTTATTTTGTTAGTATTTTAGGCACTGTCATTCCCCGAGTAGAGATTGCTGTGATTGTCTTTCCATGCTGTAAGGGGGTAAAGTACAAAACATCCCCTCAAAAAATTTTCATTTTTCTTTTTTCTTTTTTTGTTTTTTACAGCCAAAATAATGTATGCATCGCCGAAAGGTTAATTCTAAGCCCAAATGTAGCGCTATACACTCTGAGAAATAGGGAGTGTAGGGGGTACACCCCTTTGTCCCATATGTAACACCCCAAAACAACAATTCGACGTTCAGTCCACCGACATCGAACCGACAGTACCAACTTTCACGAACGGCTTGATAGTCGAGTGATACAACTTATTAAAATAGCTAATGCACTCATTAAAGGCTACAAGGCAAGACAAGGTAATTTTGGCCCTGCTGCAAAACCGCAGTGTTTTCTTTCTTTTTTTTTTAATTAAGTTTTTGATGCGCACATTAGCTATTTAGTGCGTTATATCCAACAGCTATCAAGCCGCTCGTAAAAATTGGTATCGCCAGCTCGAAGTCAGTAGACTGAACGTCGAAATGTAGTTTTGGGGTATAACACATGAGACAAGGGGTTTACCTCCCTACACCACCTCTACCTTCTGAAAGTGTAGAGGTCAGAATCAGTTGCCAAAGTTTCAGCATTAACCATATTTCTTGTTCAAAAGTATAGGTGATTTTCTAAAAGTTTCAATGGGAAGGTCGGGCTCACTTCTGCCCATTTTTGGTAGCTGGCGCCATAAAGCTCCATATATTCGAGAGCTTTGTCGGCCGCCATTTTCCCATTGAAAATTTCAGGGAATCAGTTATAATTTTCGGTTAAAATAACGATTAGTGTTTAAACTTTGGCATCTGATTCGTACACTCTAAGCCCGGTCCCACTTAGTAAGAGGGACATTTCTTCGATTTTTTCCCACTTAACTTTAAGGGGGGCGACAGACCTCTTAATATTACATGGAGATGCTCCCTCTTAATTAAGTGAGACACCACCCCTCTTAAAGTAAGCGAGGCGGCGTCTCCCTTAAATTTGAGGTCAGAGTCCCTTAGTAAGAGGGACAGTTTTTAGATATTTTCTTCCTTAAATTTGGAGGGACGGTGGCCCGCTTAAAATGCAGGGGTATAGTCCCCCTTAAGTCGGGGTCACGCTGCTTATACTTCAAACAAAATACATTCTGCAGACATGTTCCGAAACGAGTCGCCTCGACATCCGCACTCCGTACGCCACGAGGTAACCAAATCAAGAGGTTACTTTGTCACGTGACATATAAAGCACGGATGTCGCGGTGACTCGCATGGGAACATGTCTGCAGAATGTATTTTGTATGATGTATAAGCAGCGTGACCCCGGCTTTAAGTTACCTCTGTTATTGTATCGTACAATTTCTGCTCCTTCGTGTTTTGTGTGTAAGCTGACATGCTGCACTGCACTTCTCGCACTTTCGCTGATATTGTTTAACCAAAGTTATTCTGTGCTGCGTAGCATAATTGAAATTTGATCTGTATATCTCGTTTGATAAACGGAATCAATGTGTTAAAGAAAACAGTAACAATCTTTAAGAGTAAACACTGTTTTATTTGCCATGACACAAGAAAATATTTTAATATGTCTTTATCAAAATAATAATTCTATAACTATGTTCTGGTAGCTTTTACGAATAAAAAAGACTTAGAACGACGCCAGAAATCGGCGTTTCTTGGAAACTATCACACAAAAAATTTCGTGCTGCAGAGTGACTCATTTTGCCTATCATAAACAATAACAATACAATCGTGCTGGAAAAAAAAAGTTTTTTTAGCGGATAACACAAAAAGAAAAGTACATTCTAAAAAAAAGCCCGTGCGTCTACTTTCCCGCACAACACTTGGAAAGACAATCACCATAACTCTCGGAGGCAGCTCAGCGAATGTAGATGCCGAAACATATGTTTATACAAAAAAAAATGAGTTGCGACATTAAGCACAACAAACGTGATGTTTTGCATTGGTTAATGTCACAACTCGGACTGGCTTTTTTGGTCTAATCTTATGTTTCGGCATCGTGATTCGCTGAGCTGCTTCCGTGAGCTACGGTGATTGACTTTCCATGTGCTGGCTCGGGAAAGTAGATTCCTGTGCTTTTTTTAGAGCGTAGTTACCTACTTCATAGCATTAAAAAATAATTATTCGGCGTCTCTTGCCATCAGCATAGGCTCAGAATTTCTGTTGTTTTTGAACGGCCATAAGCCAGCTCCGACATAAACTGAATCGAAACACTTTATTTTCAACGAGCAGCCCCTAGAGGAGTCCAAGAGTTTGTCCACATGCCATAGGGTAGGAGAGTCCCGTTATGTAATACACCCATAAGCACATGACTAGTGCCCCCTCCGTAGTCGTGCTAGCGGTGAGTTTCACTGACCAGTTCCCAGAAACGATCCCTTTCTCCGAACCGAAGAAAGTCTTGGGTCTTGGAACTTTTTCGTCAGGGGTAAAATCGTCCTGCAAGCAGCAATTGTTAAAAAAAAAAAAAATTGCGTCAGCGTCAAACTTAGATTTCTATTTTTGCATTCGCTTTTTCACATACCATAGGTGATGAAAGAACTTCTGGCCAATCGAGACCGGAGGATGGTCTTAATGTTCAAGAATGTTGTTGGGTTGTCTCCGCAGAAGGCCCCTTTTACCTCCTACAGGTTTCCCAGCATGGTGACGATCGTGTTATGGAACCGAAGTTGTGCATCCACCTTTAGCTGAATGAAAGACCATATTGTTTTCCTTTAGATACAGAGAGTGGGAATTAGAATGAAGGTAATGAAGCGCTTTCACCTGTTATCAAGCAGGCGCTAGGAAACAAATGCGAAAATAAAGTGCAAACAGTTCAAAGATTCGGAACCCAATCTGTATACGATGAAATAGCGAGTGACATTAGCTTATGACGTAACTTCTGCTACTATTAATTTTTGGTACGAGAATAGACTGCAGCTTTAATTAATTTACGAGAATCAATCGTTTCTGTATTACCAAGACAAAACGAGAACGTATTTAGTAGTAGATGAACTTTAGAAGCCCCATGTGCTTTGGAAAGCATGGATTGTATTTGCGGCTCGAAGCTGCAGAAGTGATCTAGTGCATGTTTTAGAAAGCAACATAATCAAATAAAAAATTACATTTCTGTAAATATTTCGCCGCAAACCATTCATTTTTTTTTTTTTTTTTCAGAAGCAGAGCATATGCCAACAGAACGTTAATAGAGCCTACCTACATACCAGAATACAGAAAGTTAATAATTACCGAGTTCGTTGTGAACCGTGTGCGGGTGGCCGCAGTAGGCTCACCATTCAGGGTGGTGCGTTCCACCGTGCAGAGGGTCCCGGTAGAGCTCTTTAAACGAGCAATCCGAGCGGAACCCCCGCCTGATTCCCTTCATGTCAACGTTCGTTGCCATTGCCTCACTCTGAAAACAAGATTGTTAATAACGGTCAGTCATTTAACGTCCATAGTCAACCTAGCCCTAAAGCGCATAAGAAAGAAAAAAAAAAAGCAAACTTCTGTTTATATATTTTTCGCGGATGTACCACACAGAAAAAAAAATACTCAGCCAGCTACAGAAAACAAAGAGCATAATAAACATCATAAATAAAATCTCCAAAAACAAAAACATGGTCGGCGCCCAAAAAAAATAATAAAAGCCGGTAGCTGTGCCGGCACGACCGTCAAATATAACGAACAAAACAGTACGCCAAAATACAAAAAAAAAAAAAAAAAAAAAAAAACGTACTCCCTGGCCACCGCTACTCTCTTCCCCCCTTTCCGCAGACGCCGCGACGCCGACGCAACGCGAACACGCGAAGAAAAAAAAACACCTTTATTTCTTCTTTTTGTTTTGTGCCCGTCCAATCCCCCTGCCCCTTTCACAAACATGCACACATTATGGGTTTTTGCTCGCCGCCCACTTGAGAAAAAAATTTTCATAATTTTCATGTCTACAACATAACGTTGCAGTGTAAATGGCTGTAATGAATTGTGAAGGCCAACAAACGCAAAATCGCCAACATTGTTTCTGTCAATCAACGCTCTCGGGCGGTCAACCTCAAGCATTTAGTGTGCACACCGAGAAAGACATCGGCGAGCCAAGCTTACAAACACTGACTTCCCCAGCTAGGGTGCCTTTATGTTGGCTTTGCCCTAGGGAGGGTGATGCCATCCTTTGTAGTACCCGATGCCGACAGTGTACGCTCACTGATAAAATACCAGGAAATTGCCGGTAATAAAATGCCGGCGTAGCACTGCCAAAGGTAGCAGCTCGAGCTGGGAGAAGAACGATCGCGCGTTCGAAATTAAAGAGTAGACAAAAGCGTCGGACAGAAAATGGTCTGATATCACCAGCTTATGACAGACGCGTACACATTAGGACACCCTAACCCGCTAAAAGTGTTTTGTGCGAAAGACAGCCCTGCGGCTCACGGCAGGGCAAACGATTAGCGACGCTTTGTCCTAGCTGAACGAGCAGATCCAGGAAGCGACCGCGTCCGCGGACTACAGCTGAACACTCTCACTCTACATGCAAAGCTCGTGCATCTCACAGCCAGCGTGAAAAT